AACAATCTTCCGATGTTCCTCCAGTGAATCCGTAAAGATAAGAATATCGTCAAGATAGACGACAACATGTCCTTCATTGATCAGATCACGTAAGATGTCATTCATCATTTTTTGGAATGTTGCCGGCGAATTGGTAAGCCCAAAGAACATGACTAAGGGTTCGAACAGTCCTCGGTTGGTTCGGAAAGCTGCCTTCCACTCGTCTCCCTCCTTGATGCGCACATTATTATAACCCTAGCGAATGTCAAGCTTTGTGAAGTATCGGGCACCTTGGAGCTTATTGACAAGCTCAGAGATCAAGGGCAGAGGATAACGGTTTTTAATCGTCATCTCGTTTAACTTCCGATAATCTTGCACAGGTCGAAGAGAACCGTCTTTTTTCTTGACAAAGAAGAAGGCAGACGCCATCGGTGACTTTGATGGTTGGATGCGTCCGCTCTTTAGGTTTTCTTCCAGGAAATTGTCGAGCTCTCTTTGTTCATCACGAGACAGGGGATAGATTTTGCAATCTACAGCCTTAGAGTCTGGCTTGAGTTCGATTGCATGATCCCATGGACGACGTTCAGGTAGAGAGTCAAATGATTCTTTAGCGAACACTTTGACAAACTCTCGATACTGATTGGGAATCTTCTCCTCGGTCATTCGTTCTTTGTTTCGACCAGCTTCTTCTGCCATTCGCTGTGCTTGGGTCTCCTTCAGTCGGAGATCAACTGCTGGACCAAAGTCCACGAGCAAGATCGACTCTCCTTCTTCCAGATCAGGGTCGGCTTGGAACTCTTCATCACGAGCATTGCATTCAACAGGGCAGCGAGAAAACTTGATCTTTTGGGAGCGCCAGTCAATTTCAGGGTTATGTTTGAGAAGCCAATCGTATCCAATGAAGACACGGGCTTTACCCAGTCCAGTGACAAGGAAGCGTTGCATTTCCCAATGATCTCCAACACCCATGCGTAGTTCGACATAGTGTGTTATTTTGCCATGAGTGTTCTCGGTGCCGTCTGCATTGCGGGCGATAATATGAGAGTCCAGCTCTTTCAACTCAAATCCTTCAGCTTGGGCATATGCTCGGTCAATGCAGGTCGTTGTGCAACCATTGTCAAGCAAAGCCTTTATTGCGCGAACCTTGCCAGTCTCAGGAACCATGAGAGTTATTGGGACCAACATCTCATAGCGTTTACGTTCCCGTTGAAAGTCTTTCAGTTCCTGACTAAGACGATCTGGCTTGGTTCTAGCTTGTCGCGCAGCAGCCTCTTGCATCCGGATAGAGTCTCGAACCCTAGTGTGCGCTGGGACTGGAGGTACAGTCACATCAGCCTCCGCCTCCTCACTTCCTCTCTCAGTCTTTGTTGATGCGGTTTTTTTCTCCGCAGGCCTTTTGGAACTCAGTCCACCACTCATCTTTCTCAGCATGCTTTTGTTCCTTTAAGTTATGAAGACGATTCTGATTTTGCAAAACATGGATACGACGAGAGTTGTAAAGGAATTCATGTATGTCCTTTCGTAACGAGTCCGAGTCGGTACCATAAAAAGAGTCCGTAGCAGGCATATCGGGAGTCGCATTTAATTTACTGAGAGGGGAATAACGTCTATATTTCGAATCAATAGTTTCGGATCGCTCCGTCTCCTTGGCCAGGGGAGAGGAGCGCTTTAAAAACCCGCCTCGCGCAACTTCTGGATCAACTGTGCTAACGTGCCATCGAACTTGTCGCCCTCATCAACTTGAGCCATCAAGGCCCTAACGCTGAGTTTCTTCTGAGGGGGGTCCGGGCAGTTGCGACTAATGTGGCCAATTTTGCCACAGTTGAAGCAGTGCAGAGGTTTCCACTTCTGTCGAGTGCGGTCGACGTCCATGGCATCGGGGTCTTTGGCAGGCGTAGTCACTTGCGGTACTGGGGCACGTGGGGCGGCGGGCGGAGTACGTTGGAATTGAGGTATGAAACCAAACGTCTGTCCGCGGCGGCCCAAACGCAGCCTGTTCCGAGACAAGTTCGCGTCGATCTGCATCAGACGCTCTTTCCATTCTAAATAGGTTTTGGGCAGGGCAGTGCCTCCCACATAGATAGGACCAGTGATCTCCGTATTGACTAACTCCTCAAGAAGCTGGATCAGGAACGTCGTATGCACAAGGCTTGGCATTGGGACTATAGCCAGCCTGTTCTGCCAGCAATTCAAAAGACTGGAAGAAGTCGGTCAGCGACATCTTATTTTGACGAGTAGTCGTCAGCTTCAGATGCGCTGCCTGTGCGATGTTCGTATCCTTGAATGAGAGTTCCAGCTCCGCGATGAGATCGTCGAATGTATAGGTGGCCGCAAGCACACCATTCTTAAGGGTTCACTTTTTCCAATTGCGCACCCAGTCAGCTGCCGTACATGCGGAAGCATCTGCAGATCGAAGGTACGAGATCAAGAACCAAATTCGCTTATGATCCGTATCGAGCGCATCAGCGTAAGCCGCAATATAAGTTGTGACGGAATCGTAGAAATTTTCCCAAAGCGATTTCTCGCCAGAGAAGAGAGGAGGGGGGGTTCGCAAGTACGACGAGACATGTTGGTTGGTTGTTGGGGTGCGGGTGCAGGTGTTGGTTGGGGTACGGTTGCGGGGGTAGGAGCAATGGCAAGAGTGGCCAAGGCGGAGATTGGGGAAGGAGGAAGAGAGTCGAGGTAAAAGTGGTTGAATGGAGAGGGGATAGGGGAGAGAGAGCGGGGTGTAGAATTTCTTGAAGACTCCTCAGAAGGAGCCCCTGACGAGAGGTCAGGGATCAAAGCGCGGAGAGCGCCACAGAGGATGGACCGGAGAGTCCGTTGTCGGGGGTCCAAGAGACCTGTTGCGTGAGAGGAATCCACCGGGGCCTTCTACGACACACCCCCGCTGGACGAACTAGGGTTCTCCGAAGATTGCCCCTGCGCTCCTTGTAGCAGCTATGACTCTACGAAAGCACCTGGGTTGGGCCAGACGTCTCTCTTGCAAGTACGGAGCGTGTGTCCTCTCGAGTGGGTCCCTTGGATTGTTGTCTCCGAGTGTACCTAGCCAAGAAGAAAAGAACCTAGAGCAAAAGGACCTAGAGCAGACGACCTAAAGCAGAAGGGAAGAGGTGTGGGAAAGGGATGGGAGGAAAATTGGCGATAGTTTCGGGGTAGGGGAGTGGTTTGGGTAGGTGGTAGGAGGTAGGAAGGTACGAGGGTAAGAGGGTAGTCTTCGAATTATGTCACAAACAACACCTAATTCAGAGGATGCCAGTTGGCCAGTGAAGGCAAGCAAGAAGCACCGTGAAAAGATATCGTAAAGATGATGGAATTTGAAGACTGGGGTACAAGACGAAATCTACTCTACTTATATACACTACTACCATGTGTTTACCATGCCTAATACGAGAGGCAATGACGTCATACTTTAGCCATGCCTTTACGTGCTGTTTGCCTCATGTCCAACTCCACGCTGTCAATCAACATCAGCATCGACATCTGATGATCCAATCACCATCTTATCGTCCATCTTATCTCCTCCTTGTCTTATCTTATCAACCAGGGCCAAAATAAAAGGTTTCAAAAGGCGAAGAAAAAGGGTTTTTGAACCCAGGGTTTGACATTTGGCTGGGAATACCACAACAACCTCCTCTACTATGCCCTGTATGATAAGTTGATGCCTGCGAAACAGGTGAAACTTCTTCAGCTCTGGGACTCACTGGGAATCCCTCATAAGGAGAAGAAACAGCTTCACGGATCTTCTCTAACCATCATAGGTTTCGAAGTCGACCCTAACGCTATGACGATTAGCCTCTCCCCCCTTCCTCCAGATCTGACCTCATCAGCGCCGTTCGCGACTTCATCTCTTCAACTTCACGCCGTCACACGCTGCACGAGTTCCAGTGCCTTGCCGGATGGATCAATTGGTCTTTCAACATGTATTTCCTCCTTCGCCCCGCACTCTCCAACATGTACGAGAAGATGCGCGGAAAGTCGCAACCACACGCACAGATCTACATCAACAAGGCCATCAAGTCCGACCTCGAATGGTTTGTGCAGCACCTGCAGTCCTCCAGCGGGACCCTTATGCTCGATGCACTTGATTGGGACCCCTTCACAGATGCACATGCAACACTACTCTGCGACGCGTCACTGAGCGGCATGGGTTTCTGGCTACCTGAGCAGTTGCTAGGTTTCTATGGACCTGTGCCCTCTGGAGTACCATCCGACATCATCTTTTACTTTGAGGCTCTTTGCGTCGCCTCCGCGCTCCATTGGTATTGCAGCAATGTGCTCGCTCGCACAACCACTGCTTCTCGCTACCGCATCACGATCTTCACTGACAATTCGAATACAGTCAGCATTTGCAGTTCACTCTGCGCCACCCCACCGTATAACACAATCCTGCGTAGCGCGGTCGACAACCTCATCAAACACAATGTCGATCTGCGTGTCCTCCACATCAAAGGGGAGAAGAACTCCGTTGCCGACGCGCTGTCTCGTGGGCAGCTAGACAAGGCCCGAGAACTTGCCCCCGGCATTGTAATCAACAAGTTTCAGCCCCCTCAGGATGCGATGGGGGTGGCCGGAAAATGATGACCTCCGCCGTCCCGTCCAGGCAACCCTCCCGGCCTGCCTGGACCTTGGAGCAACTCGAGCGCGAGCTCGCTGTTGCCCTCAACGCCTCTATTGACATCTCATCAGCTCGCACATACGGCTCCGCCCTCAATTCCTGGATTGAATTCTGCCGACTTCATAAGTTCTCCACCGAACCAACAGAGAAAACGCTGGCCTACTTCCGTAGTCTACCGCTCCACTCACATAAGCCCTAACTCCGTCGACTCGTACTTATGTGGGATCTGCAACCAGCTTGAAGCCGTCTTCCCACGCATGCGAGAAGTGCGGAAAAGTCTGCTTGTCTCCCGCGCATTGAAGGGAAGCAAGCGCCTTCACGGCCGCCCGGTCAAACGCAAGAATCCACTGACCCCACAACACCTCCGACAAGCCATCGAGGCCCTACCACCTTCCCCCCCCCCATGACGACCTTCTCTTCATTGCCATGCTGCTATCAGGCTTCCGCGCACTCCACCGCCTTGGAGAACTCACGATGCCAGATAACCCTCGGCTGCGCAACCCTCGGAAGTACACCCAGCGCGAGCGTTGCTCTGAGCGATCACTCATACGAGTACTGGCTGCCTGCTCACAAAGCCGACATCGCGTTTGAAGGCAACCGCATCATAATCTCCGACGCCACCGCCCTCCTGCACTTCCGGCGTTACTTGACGTCCCGTGATCATCTCCTTCCCCTCAACCCATACCTGTGGGCCCGCGAAAACGGTCAAATTCCCGCTCGCGCCTGGTTCATCCGACGCTTACGACACTTATTTGCGGACCCCAACATTGCTGGCCAGTCACTCAGGGCCGGGGGGGCGACAGCCCTAGCAGAGGACGGAGCGCTCCCACACATTATCCAGGCGGCTGGGTGGTGGTCCTCAGATGCCTTCTACGTGTACCTCCGCAAACACCCAACCCTCCTCCATGGCATACTCCGAGCAGGCGGCGCTACCGCGAGCACCTCATCATCATAACCTCCTCTCAACATTACCCTCTTAGCCTATTTCGGCTCCTCCCGCTTTGCGCCGCCTGTAATCACATCATCGAGCTTCGGGGCAGCGCCGCCCGAAGCTGATTTTTCCACTAAACGCGCAGCGTTCGAACAACGACAATTAGTCGAGTTTAAACAATTGTTTACTCAAGTCTAATTGGAGGTGAGCTCAGCCTACTTACTGCTCCACAAACCACTTACCTAAGCATTCCCCACCTCCCCGTTAAGGTCGCAAGCGGGAATGCGTGAGCGGGGCCACCTGAGCTGCTGGTCGCAAGTGTCTCGCTCAAACGGGTAAGTCGGTCCGATCCGCGCAGCCGTCACGCCTTGACCACGGCCAAAGCAGCAACAGTTCAAGCGCCGCTTGCACTTGGTCTAAGCACCCACATATTTATACACCTGGCGCAGACGGGTAGACCTCACCCACATCTACTCCGTCTTGCCAGGTAAGCCAATCATGTCAGTCTACTACTTATTATCTCACAATACTCCGTCTCGCAGTGATCGACCAAGGGGGCAGGGGCCCTTGCCTCATAAGGGCCCTTGGGGGCCTTTCACAAGGTCCTTGCCTCTTTTGCTAACAGTCTAAGGACCTTGGTTAATTGAATCCTGGTCTCAAGGATACCTTATCATGGTATATAAAAGAGGCAATTATATATCAAAACACAATATATATATTTATGTATTTTGTTTCCTTGCCTAACCTAAGGGCCCCTTGCTGTGGCCCCTTTGAAAGGGCCCCTGGGCCTTGCAAGGCCCTTGCACATCTCAGAGCTAAAAAAAAGGGGCCCTTAGTCGATCACTGCCGTCTCGCCAGTTGTTTCTACGCGCCCCCACCACATTTCATTCCAAACCCTACTTATTTCATACTTTGTACATCTCTTGGACCTCATAGCTACATTTCCTGTATGTCCGCCTATTTCGGCTCCTCCCGCTTTGCGCCGCCTGTAATCACATCATCGAGCTTCGGGGCAGCGCCGCCCGAAGCTGATTTTTCCACTAAACGCACAGCGTTCGAACAACGACAATTAGATCTTCTGATTTGCATGATGTAATACGGCTTTGTACTTATAAAGCTCAAAACGTCTGGGCTGCCAATGACTGTGTGTTGATCGCTCTGTTGACGCCACAATGTCTATGGCTCTGAAGGCCTACCAGAAGGAGAACCCCTTCATCATTCACCCTCACACGATGGATTTCAAGAGGCAATATGCTAATATGTACAGTACACGAATATCGGCGTTGAGAGACGTGATTGCGTCCAGAGCTCAAGAAGCCTGGGCACACCAAGGTCCGAGTCCCGTTTTTGACGCTCATAACTTACGCCTGCTCACTGTAACGTAGACGTGAATACTGTATGTGTCAGACTGCGGGTCGGGCCGTGCAAGGACTTCTCCTAAGAACGCGCGCCTGGAACAGAACAGACGGATAGTCGGGCCCGCAAGTACGGCGGGCGGGGTAGATCGAAACCGAAAGGGCCCGTGGACTCGGTCCCTTGTCGTAGTCGGTGGTCGAAGGTTCGAATCGGGTCGTGTCGGGCCCGATGAGTCGATAGCGTCTCCTCGCACGGAGTAAGGTAGTTCTTAGATGATCTAAGTGATAGAGTACAGGGTACGCTATCGCGCCTTATATACACGGGCCCGCAAAGGGGGTGATCGGACACCCGGGCCTCTCCTCCTCCTCCTCGCTCCCGTTCCTGGCCGCAGAGGGGACGATCGTACATCCCTTGCGGGCCAGGCGCTACTCCTGACCTCCTAGCACTCCTCCCCAGTCCCCTTGTGTCGAGTTGGGCTCGGCGACGGCTCGACGCGTCGTTCTCGGTCACGTGCTTCCCACGTGTGCGTTCCTCCTACTGGGGCGCATGTTCCCCGTCGTCACGTGCTGCGTGTTGCGGGCCCGCAATGGCCCGACACCAGCGCCGGAGCGGACGGGCCGGGTCTTATCCGTGACATCACCCCCTCCCTAGGAACGACTCGTCTCGAGTCGGCGTGGCTTGGTCGCCCCGGTTTCTCGGGTTAATTTGACTCTAGCTCGTCCTTCCAATCGCAAATTCCATCCAGCCCATAAGCTAAGCTAAGCTTCGGCTGCGCGTTTTAATCTCCCGCGGCTTCTGTTGCCTCGTGGCGTCCGCAGATCGATTCTTCCTGTCTATCAAGTGTTTCACCGCGGTCACATGCGGCGTATCGTAGGTGTTTTTCAATTCAGTTTGCGCGTCCTTTGTTCATATTGCTTGCGAGTGGGCTGTGCTGCGCGCCTCGGTCGAGTTCGATATAGAACGCGTTCGTTCCCCCATATAAGCCGGCACTTCCCCTTCTAATTCTCTTCATGTCGTCCCCCAACTTGCACCGCTCCGGGTTATTGCCCCCCCTCGGCCCTCAGATGGTTCCCCCGTCGTTGGAGCCTGGTCGTCTGTTCGTTCGCTTTGCCTCTATGTCTCTCATCGAGTTTCCTGCCTCCTGGCCCATCGTGCAAGGGCGAGACCCGTCGTACCGGGAGTCGTTCGAGCGCCTCCGCCCGTTGGAGGACTTGCCTCTGTCGCAAGTTGCCGAGTATTCCTCCAAACTGCTCCCTCGGTTGGCCCCCGTAGTCCGTTCGCATCGAGCTCCCACTCTCCCAGTCCCCCCTGCCGCGCCCCTGTCGCCGTCGTCTTCCCGTCGAATCTTGTGGCAAAGCGAGTTCGACCGCCTGATGCAAGCCGGTCTGTGGCAGCCCGTTGTCTTCGGGCCCCACCACCTTTACTTTGGCGTTTTGTTTGATGCGTTTCCCTCCTCCTTCGTCTGGCGTCGCGAGGACCTTCAGGATATCCGCCCCTTGTTCGGACAACTGGGCCGTGGTCTCCTTGCCCATCTCCTCTCTGCCGACACTTCTTCCCCCAGTGATTCGTTCTTTCCCCGCTTGTGGTGTTGGGTGGTATGTTTCCTTCCTTGCTCGCCTCCGGCCGTGTGCTTACGGGCTTCGTCCAGCGCCTTATCCTGCATGCATTGTCTTGCGCCTCCTCGGCCGGCCTTCCCTCCTTCGTATCGGATCGATTCCTCATCCTAGCTCACGTGGCCGCCTTCCGCGTCTTCCCCCAAGAGAACATGGCCCGCCCTGATACGTTGGCCCGGCTGCTGGGCCCTCTTCCCCCGTCCCTTATTCCGCCCGTTTCTTCACGCCGACCGGTGGTCCTCCTTCGTCCGGGTCGTCTTCTTGCAAGATCCTCGAGACGAGTTCGTGTTCTCGGGTGGCCCTTCGTTGGATGAGGCAGAAGCGGGCGTTTCCTTTAGCTTCCTTCCGTTGGCGACTTGGTTGGACGACCAATTCCCGAGCCCTGAGAGCGGTCCAGAAGATCCCGAGGCAGCGGCCTCGACGTTGAAGCGTGTTTCCCCTACACCCGTGACTCGGGCGCGGTCCTCCCCTTCGATGGAGATCGACGTAGAGCATGACGGTGCCCCGCCTGTTTCGACCTTACTGTTCTTCCCCTCTGATCCGGAGTCGGATTCGGATGTGGAAGTGATCGCCGGCCCCCGTCGTTTATCCTCGCTAGGGATCGACCCTTCGGAACACGAGTTGGCAGAGGATGAACTTGATCCTCCTTTCTCCCCAGCCTCGTCGCCCACCCCGTTGCACCGGGATTTCGGCACCCCCTTGGCCCCTCGTCTAGAACCCACTGGACAGCTGGCACTTTTCCGGGGAGAGCCCCCTCGCCAACCGGGAACAGTGATCTGATCCCTTTCCCCTTGCTGCAAGTATTGCATTGCTCATGATCGTTTATGCACCGTGTGGGGGCGTCCCAGATAGTTCTCCCCAGAAACTCCCTGGTCCCGTGCGTCGAGCTTGCGACGCATGCAGCCCGCTCCATCGTGCCTGTCTGCGTTGGTGATCTTTTGCAGATGCGTACAAGGCTCGTTCCGCGGATCTACGCGATTTTTCCTTCGAATTTTGGGAGCGTCAAGTCAAGGATGGCGAGTTTGCGCTGCTGCGTCCCGATCCCCGCTTCGCCAATCTGGTCGGGCTGTCCGCCTCGGTTCCATACCGATCCTTCTTATTCTCCTATTTGCCCCGCTCAAACGAGGATCGGTTCGGGCGGAGCCCGACCCCCGTCGGTCGGGCCGTCATCGCCGCCCGGTTGTCCTTTTGTCAGGGTCTTCTCGGGACTCCTCCCCATCTCCTATGCGGAAACGAGTTCGCACCCGCTCGCCGTCTCCCCCACCATCATCAAGTCGGCCCCCGCCGAGACCTCGCCCCAACTTCCGCCGGCCAGCCTCCCCTCTCACGGATCGCTCGTTAGGAGAAGCATCGTCCCGGCCATACATTCCTGCGGGTAAGACTCGCCCCCCTTCTTATCCCACCATGGGTTTCCAGGTGCCATCATTCCCTCGAGTCTCCCTGTGGTTCGGGAGGGAGTGGGATTTGGATCGGGCTATCACCGAGTCTCGCCGGTTGCATGGGGATCTGTCGGTGCCCGCCGATCAGCGCTTGTCGCCGTTGGGCGTGCTGCTGTTGCAACAATCGGCAGTTCATTCGGCCGACGGGGATTTCCCAGATGCTCGGACCCGTGCCCTCGCGGAGTTGTCGTCAATGCGTTCTGTTAAGTGCCGTGCAAGAACCGAAAGGAAGTAACGGAAAGTCCGAAGCAGAACCGAGTGGCTATCACAACACTATATCGGAGTGAGCGACTACACGTCTTGCAGGCCGAAAGCAAGTCTGAACAAATACGTGAACTCCCGCGGATACGTTCGGAGAAGCCGAAGGCGATAAGGCTTAGAACGCGGGGAGGAGTCGGACGAGAGCGGAGAGCGAGGCAAGAAACGTTAATAACGAAACTGAAGTACAGGAGCGTAGAGTATGAGTATTTATACTAAGTGGTAAGCATAAGGCATATGACCTCGCAGGGAGATCCGATGTGGTCCGCAGGATCTCCCTGCGGGTTAAGTACAAAGGCATAGTAAGTAAGGGGAACGAGAAGACATACACGAGGCAAAGGAAACAAGGCGAACGCCT